ATGTGGGGGCGTGTTAGAACGAGGCGTTTTAGGTAGGCGTGGTTGACTCTTAACTTTTATAAAGAATATCTCTTTGGATTTGAGACTTTAGTCTTTGCAACTTTACAGATCTTCTTTATGCACCAAGAGCTTGTAACACTCCTAAGAGAAAGGAAAAATTTAAATCGCATCATATGACTCCTTTAAATCTATAAAACCCATCAAATTAAGATGGACCGTGTATGGTTTGCTCAAAATTCAGTGATTCTGAACATTAAATCAGGCAGAAATGCTATCAGAAATGTAATCTGAAGAATTATGACTTTTTATTCATGACATTGTCTATCAGTTGCAAGAGCAGAGCAAACAGGTGTTGCCTGCATTTTTTTATTTCGAGCTACACGTAAACTATTTTATAATTTGATAATCTTGAGTTTTTAACTGATAATGATGAGGAAAGATTGTGTTGATAACAGATTGTTTTGTTTGCTGATCTCATCACCTGAACATTGGCACACGAGTGATTATGCTGCACTGTCCTAGCTATGCCCTGCATTTCGGTTTCTTAATACTTCCCAAGTCATGACCTAACCATGCGTGGGTTTTTTTTTTTATTTAGCATTAGAGCCATTTTTGTTTGACTTTTACCCAGATTTACCTCCAATCACCATTTGTTAAATCTCCTGCATTAAAGAGCATCACTCATAGGGCAACTCCATTAAGCCTGATTACATACATACAGTCGGGGAAGGGGGCCTTTGTGTCAGCGTCATACTAGTTCCATCTCGCTGGAGCTGGACATCACTCTTTTCAGTTGTTGGTCATTTTGTCTGCTGGTTACAGAGACTGTAAGGCTGGGTGGTGATGGCTGGGCTTTAGGAGCTCATAAAGATGGATAACAGGGGCTTTGGAGGGAAAAAGGGCAAAGAGGGGTCTTTTAAGCGTGCATCCATTAAACGCACATCCTCTGGTTCTCAGAAGGTAAGAGACATCAACAAGATTTGAATCCCCCCCCCACACCAATATTCACCTGCTGCAACTGATTAGTTTGTTTTGAGTTGATGAAGAAACATGCCTGTACTGAATTATTTTTGGGAATAATGAATTCTGGTCCCTTAAAAAAATTAGAAATGGTTGCGAGCCCCAAGAACTATGTCTTCACTTGGGGATAGCTAGTTAACTGAAGTGACATTATTGTATGCAATTCATTTTGAATTTGTTTAGGATTGGACGTGTTTGAAGATTCAACAAATTTTTTCACTGCGAAAAAGCAGTAGAAAAGTTTAAGTTGCAGGTTTGTTTAATGTTAACAAAAACTGGGGTCTCTCTTGGTTAACACTGGCATTTATTTTGTACATGTGTGTAAACTTATTTGGTGAATGCATTGATTCCAGTGGCAATCTTGATCTGTGAGTGTTCACTCATACACATGCATGCATACAAAACCTGTTGTTAGTATTGTCCTCTAATCTTTGATAATGGCC